AAAAAAAGTGATTTTTCACTTCAACCTGACTTCTCTTTAGTGTCTTAAAAGTATGATACATATTCTCTCACTTTTATTTTTTTCTATAAAACAAAATACAGTGGCCAGCAGTGTTTTACAATCTAAATACTTGTATAAGTAGCTCAGTGTCTTAATTTTTTTAGGTTCCTGTTACCTAAAAATGTGTAGTTTGGGGCCCTCCCTGTGGCACAGGGGATTAAGTCACAGCACTAAGAAATTATCTCCAGTCACTGCAGCACGACTTTGATCCCCAGCCAGGGAGCTGACCCACATGGAGCAGCAGACCTCTCCTGTCTCGCCCACTGCTCCCCTCAGCAGTGTATTTCAGTTAGTCCACCTGTTCTGCTTCCCATTCTGTCTCTGGTGAATACTCTCACCACCCCGACCCCACACCTTTGGCCTATACTCCAGCTCTTGTATGCATAAGTAAATACATCTTTTTAAAAAAAGTGTAGTTTTGGCTTCAAGTTTATGTCCCTAATGAATGCGGAACTGAAGGAGCGAGAGACAGTGAATCTGACCATCTTTAACCATGACTCTCAGAGTCAAAGGTGGAATGTTGGACAGGGTGTGTTTATGAGAAATCAGAGAGGAGTCATGTGAAAGGCAGAGAAAGGTGGCAGTGTCTTTTATGCAAAATTGTTATTCAAATCAGTAAGAATCAAACTCCAGCTGGTTAGGATAGTTGAGAGGATTTTGAGGAGGATATTCACATTTACTACGTGACAACCACTTGCCAGACAGCAGTATCCAGATGAAGAAATCAAGACTCAGACAAGTCAAATAACTTGTCCAAAGTACACAACCGGTCCTTTATGATTGAAACCAATGACTAACTCCAGATTCCTTCTGTTATCCTCCCCTCTCGTGGCCCAAGGAATGTGAGAATTTATGATGCAAACAACCTGTAACGCCAGGGTCAGCCAAGCCACCTGTTAAACCCGAAAAAAATTGCAGTTCCTTTTTTAAGTTTGTATATAGTGCAGTTCCAAGCAAAAGGGACAACTTTGAACTGTGTGCCTTAGTAAAATGGGTTGAATAGTCTTGCCTTTGTAGGATATCCAGACTTCTTCCTTCTCCAAATGTTTTAGAATTCCTAGAATCTGAGAAGCATAAGGGAGTCTGGAGCCTTCTCTATTACACCAGGAAACCCTTGTTCTGCCAAGAACTTGGCTAAAGCTTGGTGGTGTCAACTCCAAAGACAAGTCTACAGTTTGATTGTAGGCACTGCTTGAGAGTCTCTGAAGAATTATGTCTGTACACCAGGATTTTTAATAGGAGGAAGCTCCTCCCTTTATGACATCACCAGGCAGGTAACTAAGGGGACTATCTGAAATATTCTTAGAACAGCCATTTTTGTGGGAGTGCAAGAACAGCAGCTTTTGAAACAGGGTAAATATTCAGGCTTCATTAAGACCCTAAGTACAAGCCAGCCGGTAAAACATGGGATCTCCCCAGAGGAACACAGTCTTTCAGATGGTCAAGACTAATAAAACTGGGTCCAAGGTAGTTTCAGCACACAGAGGGTCTGAGATTCCTAGCACAGTCCCTCAGCGGGGACACGGATTCTCTGTTGCCTCTACCCAACGAAGTCCTGTGAGCCCTACACCCCATCAAAAATTAGAAGCTGTGTATCCCGGCGCTACTCACTCAACATCAGACTCTCGATCTTTCTTCCCCCAGTCAGGACCAGGCCTCTCTGGAATACCCATCTCTCGAGGAACTGAGGCCCGATCAAAAAGTGATGGAATTCGCTATCCCTCTCCTCATCGAAAGAGCCAGCAGATTCAGACAACATCCCCCCAGGCCGTGCATATGCAGCGGAATATTGGTCCAGCCAGAGATGAAGGAACACGAAGAGGGGGTGAGAGCAAGTTATGGCGTGACAACATCCACACCCCATCAAGCCCGGATGTTAAGTCCTCTCGCCGGTTGAGTTTCATAGATCAGAAGGATAACTTACAATTCTCGCAAGATGAAAACCCACCCTCCAAGGTCCAGTACCCACAAGGGATCAGAGTTCCCCGTAGACCTTTGGTTCATCCAAAGGATGAAGCAGTCCAAACTGACCCCATCCGAAAAAACTTGACTGCTGCTGAGAGCAGAGCCCCAAGGGGACTCTCCAGCCCACGACAGGGCAGCAGCAAAATTTCTGCAGACTCTCGGGCAGTCCACAGAAGGACCCTCGGCCCAGAGTCTGAAATGAGTCATCCTGGCTCACCTTACATAGAACCTAAGAACTATCACAGAAATATGAAGTTGGACTCCTCTCTCAGACTGTCTGTCCTTAAGGATCTGGATGGACCCCGAGTGCGTACAGAAGCTGAGTACCAGAAGTATCCTGTCCTCAGTGAAACCAAATCCTCCCCTAAATTCTTTGTATCACCAGAAATGGATTCCAGCATGAGGTCCTCAGTCCGAGGAGACTGTGAGGCTGGTCGCAGGGTCACCATCTCCCCAGGGGCACAGTCAGTACAGGGAACTCACCGTGTGACATCTCGAGCAATGTCTGAGAGTCCCCCCAAATTTTCCATGGGTGTCACTGTGGAGCCCACCTATAAACAGCCCACTCCAAGAGCCCCAGAAATTGTCTCCACATCTCCACCCTCCGTCCAAGCAGAACTGGAACTGACCCCACGACCCTTACCCCCTCGCTCCTTACCTAAGTATGGACCTGACTCCTCATGGTGGGCCTTACTCAATCCTGAAGCGGAAACGCCCCAGAGCCGGCCAGCAACACCTGATTTTGAGTTTAAGTACTATCCTCCCTTAGACCCTTTTTTGTGCTTCCGTGAAATGGACTCAAACCCTTGCTATGAGGATCTGATGTTCCAGAAAGAAAAGGCAAGTCCGTCACCACCACCAGCACCAGCAATGCCACCACCACCAGCACCACCAAAGGAATCTCGTAGCTGGGTGCCAATGAGGGAAGTGCCCCAGGCCTCCAAGCACATCTCTAAAGAGCCCATTGAAAGGTCTAGTGCTTTCTTCTTGGGTATGTGAAGGAGCAGACTGCCCAGGTGCAGCCCCGATTTAGTGAGGTGGGATGTTGGGGTTGGCAAGAAAGGCCCCCCTCTTAGTTCAGGGCCTCAAGCTGCCCTCCTGCCAGTGCCAAAGCTAGCCCCATCCTTGAGCCCATTGCTCCATCCCTTCCATGCCAGCTTCTCTGAGCTCCAAGCTAATGACATCGGTAACCATGCTTGGGCTGCGTCAGGCATTGACTCTTCCAGGCAACGCTGCTTAACGTTTCCATGGAAGGTAGTAGAGAGTGATTTGCAGGGTGGGAAGCTGCTTCCCAAGAGTGGAGATGAAGAACAGAGCGAGGGGGGAGGGCTATTAAACAAGAAGGGTCCTCAGGTAAAAATATTTTGGCAATGAAGTGGAGGTGAGGTATTAGAGGAGCTGGACTTAGATTTCCAAGAAAGGTGTAAAATCAGGGAGGGGAAAAGTGGGATTGTGACATTTTAGTCCTAAACTGGAGGAGCTGCTTGGAGAGGGTTGTGCTGAGTGCACCTTCGAGTGGATCGTGGAGCTAGAAAGTGAGATATTGAGCAGTGGGGGTAGGAGACATATATCCCACAGAGAAAAAAAAGCAACAATATCTGTTAACTTTCAGGTGTCTCTGAGGAAATGCACAACCGTGTCCTCTGGTGGCTAAAAGGTCTGTGCTTTTCCCTCTGTGGGTCATTGTGGGGGCCTGGGGGTGGAAGGACAGACGGGAGGGTGGCTCTGTCTACAGAGCTCGGTCCATTAGGACCATACGTCCTAGGGTTCAGACTAGAAGGAGCGGAGGGATTTGTCATCTTGCCTAGCTTGCCCCCCACTGGAGTTACTCCCTTGGAACTTGGAAGATTTTTCATTTTCAAGAGTCCTTTTAAGTTTTCTCTTGCCCCACCCCCTTTCTTTGTGAGAAGTAATCACTTCTGGATTGAAGAACAATTTGAGTCCATGCATGGCCTTCAGCTTAGCTGTTCTTATCAATCAAGTGATAGAACAATGACAAAACACCAAGGCAAACTACCTCCTTCACAGTCTTACTCAGGGCTGACCCCACACTGACTAAGGTTTAGGGGTCCCTCACATGCCACGCTCACCCTCCTCAAGCCCCCAGCTCAGTTGCCCAGGCAGGGTCCCCAACGTGTCTGGGCCACTGCTTGGAGACCTCCAGTGGGCCCTGCAGTCAACTTTAGAAACCCTTAAGAGAAGTATCTTGCACTCTTGATCTCTCTGGTGGGAGGGGAGTTGGTAGCCTGCCCTGGTACAGTGAATCTTAGGGAGTTCCTGCTTTGAGTGTTCTGACTCAAAAGTGCCCCAGCCCTCTAAGTATTAGGGACGCCAGGGCTCTGGATCATGAAGTTTCTAGAGAGGAGATGAACCCTGGTATGTTGTCCAGTCCCAACAAGCAAATATCCCCCAAGCAATGGGCAGTAGAGATCAGCCCTGCTTCTCCAAGGGAGCAAAGCTCTACAAAGTAGAGGTTTAGCAGGTATGGACTCTGCAGCCATGTTACTGGATTTGAGCCCTGTGTCCACTGTTTTCTGATGGTGACTTTGGGAAGTTATTTTACCTCTTCAATGATTAGCTTGCCTATCTGTTAATGGGAAAATGGCTTCCTCTCAAGGTTCTTGTAAAGACTAACCTAGCCTATTACATAAAACACACTTAGCATGGTGCCTGGGAGCAGTGAGCTTTCAGTGAACACTATAGTTTCGCTTTAAGCCACTTGCACTAGCAAGGGATTTTGGGCCAGCTTATGCCCATGTTCACTAGATATCTTCAGTAAAATTCTCTTTTTCCCCTCCTGTTGGCTCTCTCTGAATTCCATTTGCTGCCCCCTGGGAATGCCCGGCTCCTACTTCTCCAATATGACAGATGAGGAGGTAAGAATGCCCCTTCTAGCTTTCCTGTGCCCACCTCCCCACTCTTTCTCTCACCCTGTGATGGCAGTAGACATGGAGGGAGGGAGACAGGGCTGCTCCCAATGGTAGGGCAGGCTGTTCACCACACAAGGGCGATGGGCAGGGAGAGCAAATGGGGCTGAAATCTAGCCAGTGTTGGACCTTCCAAGTGTTGCGCCTTTGGGGGTGCATCTAGGGGCGGGGAGGGCGCCGGAGGAGGGGGTTATATTAAGGTGCCCTCTCAGCTCGTTGCAGCCCTGGAGAAAGGGTAGAGACCTTTTGTTGGATGCCATGTCCTGCAAGTGTTCTGTGGGAAGGCTGTCTAGAGAACTGGATTGGTCCCCACTTGGCTCTCCCTTCTCCAGCCTAGGGCACTCCAGAAAGGGGACAATTTTCTGGGTTACACACTATTTGAGTTCTCTGCTTAGAAAGGCACAAGGTGAACTCTGCTCTCAGCAGCCCTGTCCTGAATTTGGCAGTGTCCTGATTTCACAGTGCATTGTTCCCATAAGTATTTTAGTTCTTCTTGGCCCAAGTTTGATAAGATAGACCAAGCCCTTACTGCCTCTATTCATTCTCGTGCCATCTCCCCACAGAGCTTCATGCAGCCTCTTTTAGGTCCTACCCATGGCCTAGCTCAGGATGGACAGTTGACTACAGGTGGAAAGCCAAAGAGGGGGCAGGCAGGACCGTCTCCACAGCTGAAGGGGAGGCACCAGAAATGTGGCTGCCACCCCCTCTGCCATGACTTCTTACCCAACCCTGTGCCCTCGGTTCAGCTGTGGGTGGGAACAGCTACTTTTAGAGATTATCTCCAGGCAGGACAGTAAATCATCTCCCTCTCCCCTTTCTCTCTTCCTTCCTTCCTCCCTCCCTCTCTCCCTTCCTTCTATAAACAGTTTTTATTCAGATGCCCAGTACTCTGCTGGGCACGACTATGGAGAGTATTAAAGCCTCACAGCACACACATTCTTTGGCCTTGAGAAATTTACCATCTGGATAGGGAGATAAGACATGGACAGGAAACATTTAAACAACAATATAAAATGTCTGCTCAAACATCTAAATAACTATAACATGCTGACTAAATGCTCTTGGAGGGTTTTAGGAGAGAGTCCTGAAGAGGTTGGTGATGGGGTTGTTCAGGTTATGCCCTCCTCAAAGCCAAGGAATAGCCAGCATCTTGCTCACCTCTTCATGTAAATCTGTACCTTTGGGAAGGGGTTACTATTTCCCCTCGACTAAGCGCATTCCTCCCCAACCCGCACCCCCTTTCTTTGTGCATCTTGTTTTAGTTTAGGAAGCCAAAAGCCTTGGCAGCAGGATGGCTCCTTCCCAAAATAGCTCTTATCCTGTCTCAATAATTGCAGCTCTCCAGCCCTGTTAGCAGCCGAGCTGCTCCCCAGAAGCTGTGAAGAGAAGCCTCACAGGCAGCTGGGCCTACTTGTCTTCTAGGGCTCTCTGGAAGTGGGGTGGCATAGCGGTGAACCAGATTCTCTCCTAGCCAAGTGTCTCAGGCTGCGCAGCCCTCCGCGGGGCCACGGGATGGAGACGGCGTAGCCTGGGTGTTCGAGGCGACCGAGTCCTCTGATCTGAGAATGGTTGACTACATGTAGAGTCTGCTGTAGATTCCATTCCTAGCAGGAGTACTCTGGTGGCCTGCCGTGGTGGCTGACTTGGACGGTGGCATGTTATTTGTTGAGCTTTGTGAGCTGGGAGTGAAGGCTGATTTAGCGCCTCTTTCCCTAAGTGTCATTTTTCTCCCCAAGCAGCCCTGGTGCCCTTTTGTCCAAGGAGCAGGGTGGACAGATGATTCTCATCCTTAGATTGGGACATGAGGGGCTGGCATCTCTCCAGAGGAGTTTGTGCTCAACTGAGGAAAACATTCCCAGTGGGGATTTTTTTTTTTTTTTTTGTATCAAAAATAGAAGCTCAACAGGAATGTCTTGGGGGTGGGTACACTGTTGGGTCACTGAGCCTGCCCTCTTACACAGTTCTGGAGGAGTCCCTTGAATAAAGCAGCTTTTGATAGTTGTGGGGGTTGCCCTAGCTCTTAAGATCCTATGTCCTCAAGGCACCTAACCTACTTGCCCTTGGATGTGACTTTTCAGGCTGTCGGGAGACAAGGGACAGCCTGCTTGACTTACTCCCTGCTGTATCTATCAATTATGCAAGAAACCAACTCTGGAAGATAGGCTGGGTACCAGAGGAGGCCATCTCGGTGATACCTCAGACAGACCTCAGTTTCTTTCAGCTGACATGTCATTGGGTCCCTGGGGAATGGTACGACCAGTCTTCTGATGGTCCTTGAGCCACAGGGAAGCTTTCCTCAAAATGGTCTTCCTTGACAGAAAAATCTAGAACCTAGATAGAACACGGGGAGTCTCTGCCATTCATGGGGATGGTAAGAGCATCTTAGAAAATGGGTTATCTGAAGGGAACCCTCAAATCATCTGTCCTACTCCCCTCATTTTCTCTTGCTTTGTGCAGAGGCTCATAGTTGAGAGGAAAGGAAACTGTTGAAAGAATGGATCAAAGTGGCTGAAAATGGGGCAGAGCACTTTGGGAGGCTTTTCATAGCAGCATGACCCTTAATAACCTGTCTCTTTTCCTGTCAGATGATACCTTGTTCATTTCTAGCTATCATGGGCAACCAAGTCCAGAGCAGGATAGGGGGCTAGTGTCCTCTGGCCCAGATTCACTGTTTTGGGGACAGGCTAGGTTGTCCTAATCAGGTTTTGCTTGGGATAGTGTTGGTCCTGCATGCTGAGAACCCTTAGCCTAGGCAATGGTCCTCCCTACTCTTAGGATAAGCTGTGGCATGGTAGCCTCAGCCAGAGCCGCTGGAAGCCCAGGGTGGTAGGCACTGTCCTGCATTTACTGTGAGATCTGGGTAGGTCTCCTTGTGCCCACAAGATGGGGGCAGGAAACCACTTATACATTCAGGCTTGATGGTCGAACTAAGGCCAGATGCCTCAGTTATTTGCTCTTCCCAAAATAATCCCAATAAGGAGGAATCTACATCACTTTGGACTTCTGGTGTATTTCCAGAAGCTACCTGACCTCTGTGTGGAACCCACTTCGTCCTTCTGTCAGAGTAGCTTAGTGGTGTTTGAAATGATGGTTTTTCAAGTAAGGAGTTAAACAGTGGGCCCGGTAGATAAGGGAGCCTGGCTTTGAGAGGGCAGGTGCACTCTTGGATGAGGAAGCAAATCTGAAACACAGAAGCCCCCTGGCAGCTGCTCAGCTAGAGAAGTCTGTCTTGAGTGACAGAAATGACCGTGCTCTTTCGCTGCTCAGCTGCCTCTGGTCCAGCTGCCCTGAAGGGACATACAAGAGACAGCTGCACACTGTGGGCTGAGGAAGGTCTGGAGGAGGGGGTGGAATGTCAACCGGAGAGCAGCTCAGACTCTGACACTGTAGGTGGAGGGCTGGACCCGCCAGAATTGTTTCCTTGGCACACCCACCAACCACAGTGAAGTCTTTTAGCTCCAGGAGTCTCCACAAAGGCTGTGTTTTTGGAATCCAACTCAGTAAGTATGAACGGAGACCTGTTTTCTAAGGACGAAGTGGTGTCTCTCCAGAGAAGCTGATTCCACAAGTGGTGGCTGCACGGCCGTCCAAGGTCACTTTAGTCTAAGACGCTTCTCCCATCCCTTTACACCCTTCATATGGGCACATGGCGGATCTTTTGGAGGGAAGGCATTTGGAGTAGTCACATTTGACAGTTGATGGTTTGGTGTTGATCATTTTCTCATTAGCAGAGTTAATAGCTACCACTCATTTTAGCTATTACAACATTAAGCCTGTTACCTTAATGACTCTTCCTCGCAACCTTACCAGGTGGATTTTTTCCTCCCTATTTCATAGATGAAGAAACTGGCTCAGAGCTTGTTCATCAAAGTGGAGAGCACTTTTTAATTAATTAGTTAATGTAGATTTTACATCATTGTTCATCTTTGTACAATGTTTGCCTTTCCTCTCAGCTGTAGCCCCGTAAAATTCCCACCATGAGTTCACCCATGCACTGACACCATAGATCCTTGTGCTCTTTCTTCCCATTTTGCTCCCCCTCCTCCCCCTTCAGGATGTCTGTGACTTTTTATTTATCGTTATTATTCTTTTCCCTGATACTTCATGTGCTTCCCCTATATGCCTCCTATAAGTGGAACCATCTGATATTTTTCTTTTTCCTTCTGACTTATTTCACTGAGCATAATCCCTTCCAGCTCAATCCAAGTTGCTGTGAATGGCATGAGTTTATCTTTTTGATTGCTGAATAGTATTCCACGGTGCATATGTACCACATCTTCTTGATGTTACTAGTCATTATTTTTGGGCATTAGGGTTGCAAATAGTGCTGCAATAAACATAGGGGTGGAGGTATCCTTTTGAATTAATGTTTTTATGTTCTTTGAGTAGATTTCTAGGAATGGAATTTCTGGGTCATATAGTAGCCCCATTTTTACTAGTTTGAGGAACCTCCACACAGCTTTCGATAGTGATTTGACCATTTCACATTCATACCAGAGCTGGGAGCACTTTCGAGGCATCTTGCCCTAACAGTTTATATGTGATGTAGAAATTTTTTCTGTAGCCACTGGAAAATAAACTTCTCAATATTGCAGCAGCACCTTTAGATTTAAAAAATTGTGAAGGGAAATGTTTTAGTGGTGTTAATATCTGTTATGCCCTGTTATGTGTGTCTTTGCATGTGAACTAGGGGGCTGGGAGGCAGCTGTGAGCTGGTAAGCAGCCAGAATGAAGGACAGATTATGGGTCAGTCAAGCCCACAGCCTTGAGGCTTGTCTGTGCTCCAAAATTAGAGTAAAGAAACTAATTAGTGGATCTTTCCAATCAATCCATATTGATCAGACACTTCCTGGGGGCAGAAGTCTGGTCACCCAGGCAGATGACATAACATGTTTGTTGAATTGAAATAAATAGAAGTTAAAATAGAAAACATTAACTGCTTGTCCTTGAAGGGTTAGTTGGTTAATTTTGGAAAGAAAAAAAATGTATACAGACGGGTCACTTGAAAAGCTGTCTAGGTCAGAGAACAAAACAAAGTCCAGTGAAATGAGTCAGTAGAACTTGTAGCATGGAAGCACTTGGAGTTAGAGGAAAGGGGAAGGGGAGGCACATTTTGGCTTAGTGAAGTGCAGACTCTGGTGACTGCTCAGAGACTGAAGGGCAGTGGTGGAGTCCTTGAGTTTTTGAGCATGGGCTGTGTTCATGCAGAGGTTGGGCGGTCAGGGATGCTCATGAAGAGGTCCCAACACCAGTAGTGTGTGCCTTTTGGAGGTATGTAGGCCCCTTCTATCTTTGACTCCTGTGCCCTGCCTGCTGTGGGAAAGGCCCTCTAAATGGTTCCAGTACCCTGCCGCTCCAGAACTGCCCCCTCACTGCAGTTCAGCAGGTGCCAGGAAACCTAGTGCTGCCCCTGACCTTGCCACCTTCATCTCAGGCTTGCTCTGGGATCAGGAGATACTGTGTGGCAATGGTGAGAAAAGTGCAACTTGGGGTGTTTTGGTCTCTTGCCTCTGCACAGACCAAGAAACCCTTGAAAGACAGCCAGTGATAGCCTCACAGCCCCAGCAGACCTCTCTGACTGTATCATCAGTGGCTCATCACCTCTGGGAAAAGGGAGAGACAACTAGTGCCGAGCTACTTAGGGGAAAGTCTACTACCTAGAGATAAAAAGTGTCCTTTGCTAGTTATGCAGACCTGAAACCTCAATTTCCTGTGGTTATCTTCTTATTCTTAGATTTGAACCTAAGCCCTAACAACATTCTTTTATGCCATTCAACCATGACCCCCAGAGAAAGATCCAAAAGAGGGGGCCAGAGGTTCTCGATACAGACTGTGTTGGCCTGACCTTAGCAGTCTCATCTAGCCGTCTGAGGGATCCCAGGAAAGTAAACTGAGCTGTGGTTGCTGATCAAGTTTTCCAGAAGTCACCCACTGTGCCAGGCTAAACAACTGCTCCCCAGAGACTTGGTGCAAATACACCATTCCATTGTCCTCAGGGAGATTGTACTCTATTCAGGAACATAAATGCCTGGTGGAATGTTGAGTTTCAGGGGCAAGCAGAGCTGCGAGACCCAAGGGGCACGAGGCAGCATCCAAGCCGCCTCCTAGCTCAGGGTGGGGAGCTGTGCTCAGTGGTCAGGCTCACACAGGCTGCGGTATCTCAGCCCTCTCTCTGACCTGATGCCAGACTCCCTCCAATTCAGAATGTGAGAGCTGGAGTTGGGAGGAGTCCATTCCTTTTTTACTGGCCCAGGGAGGTAAAGAGTTTTTGGGCAATGAGATAACCATCAAAGCTGGCAGGGGATCTTATGTCCAGGGCAACTTCTCTCAGAGATCCCTGCAGGTTGTAGTGTTAGCATGCAAGGCTTGTGCAGATGGTATAGTTTGAAGTCTGCCCTTTTTTTTTTTCCCACCCAGCATGTCCCATGTTGGGCCCATGATGCATAATTATGAAGGGACTATGACCACCAGGAACCTAAGATTCATGCTTAGAGAGATGAGGTTCATGTTTTAAGTCTTCTCTAGACCTTTTTTCTCCTTAAAGCAAGCTGGCACTGACATACTCCAGGACACACAGAGCTCCCTGGGGCCTCAGCGGCAGGTGCCAGAGCAGAGCTGGGATCTCAGCCACAGCTGAGGAAGAGCTAGCTAGGCTACTTTCTGAGACATGTCTGTGTCCACTCTTGGACTGCAGCTGGGACTGGGGGCCGGGGGTGTGTGTGTTAATGATTGTGGAAAGGCTTTCTGATGGGGCTTGTTATTCTGTCTTTCTGCTAGCCTTTCTTCCCTGGGCCCAGCACCCCCAGCCCAGGTCATGCAGACTGCCAGTAGATGCACCCAAGAGGAATTCCTATGAGGCGTTCATGAGTACCAGCAGCCTGTAGCAAGTTCCCAACAGTGGGGCTTTGTGTAGCCTCAGTTTGATGTTTGGGTCTGATGGCAGCAGCTGTGGCTGCTTCTGTAGTCTTCCAACAGTCATTGGTTTCTCTCTAAAGAAACTGCTGTGTTCTTGTCTTCCGGAGTATAGTTTCAAATCTAATCTATGCCAGGCCTTTTCAGGGGACTGCTATACCTTAGGGTCCCTCTCATCAGCGCTGAATGGCTGATCCCTATCCTAATTTAATCCCCTCATTTTCAGGTGTAGAAACTGAGGCACAAGAGAGGTGAAGTGAGTTGCCCAAGGTCAGCCATGTTGCTCCATAACTTGGCTTGTGGACATCCTGATTTCTTTAAGAATGCTCCTTCCACCTTCCAGCCCACCAGTGCCAAATAGCCCATACTATTCTCAACCATCGCCTCATGTTTTCTGAGCCTGCTCTCACCTGCCATTCCCCGACACCCCTCCCTCCTTTTGCTGAGTTCTAATCGGACACATTTGGCTGAAACAGAGCAGTAGGCAAGCCTCTGGTGTGTTTACCAATAGAGGGCTATGCCTGCTTTGTCCAGAGTGTATGAGGCCAGTTAGTTTGCCTTCAGGGAAGGGCGCTTGGGAGTCTGAGAGGGGCATGCTTCTGGAATCTCCCACAGAAAGCTGACCAGTTAAGCCCAGTATTAGTTCAGGAAATCCCCCACCAACTCCCCACCCCCTATGCATCTACTGGCTCCAGGCGCCAGCTGACCCTTCGGAGCCTCTAAAGCCTCCAGAGCTGCTGAGGGCATCCATCCCCACAGCACCTTCCTGTTTGCCCAGCCTGACCTAGATTACTTCTGGGCTGGCCTCTCCCAGGACCCTCCCCCCATTTTCCTCAGCCCCAGGCTGAGGATCCACTGCCCCATAAAAGCCACTCACCCGCTCCCACCCTTCCAGATGATCCCCGGGTAATTTGTGCGGTAAATCCTCTTTAATCTTTAATCTAGGTTCCTGTCTCTCCTTCACAGCTCGGGAGGAGGTGGACAGTGTCTGATATTCCGTCTTGGAAGGTGGGGGTATGGGCAATCAGTAACTTGGCCGTCATTAGAGGTCAGTAACTTGGACATCAGCCGGAATCACTTCCCGAAAAACTGGCGGAATCTCGGAGTTAACTAATGGTTTCTCTTCAGTTTGTGCACAAACCCCTTCCTCTCTTTCCAAGGGCATCTCCTCCCGGGAGTGCCAGGTGGGCCGTTCCCTGTCCTTCGGGGACAGGCTCAAGCACCCCGTGGTGCTGCGCCGCCTAAAGGGGCCTCTCTAGGGGCTGGGTAGGAAGAAATGGGTGTCCCGCTGCCCTGCGTTGGGTGTCTCTGCCCCGGGCGCCTCCGGGG